TTTTTCTTGCTTTTTGGCTCTGTACATACTTAAACAGATACATCTTTTATACAATAACATGCATATTCATTGAAAAGCAAGTGAGGCATCGATGAGCAAAAGTTATTAGAAGTCTCCACATGTTTCAAGTATCTCATAATCATCAATTATGGTCGAACACATGTCTCAAAATAGCGTTACAAGTTATTAGAAGTTCCGAATACATGCAACTACGTGGTCACATACTCATGTTTCATCCTCTATGTAGACTATGATATGACTGCATAGAAGAGAAGAGCGATCACGATGAGCAAAAGCGGGATTATGTAGTAGTTTTTGCGGCGCTGGTTTTGTATCCTCTGTTGCGCTATGAATCTCAAGTAACTAGCCTCGGCTTCCATTCTGCTATTTCTGGCTTTCGCCCGGGAAGCGGTACACTTGGGCCTGACACTCTGGCCACTCATCATACATACCCGAAACATGCCCTACATACACGACATACCACTTCCTCGCCATCGTTGATCTATATACCTGTCAAAGATGCACATTGTGTCACATGTTTAGCGTGTACCCATGGCTCATTTTTGGCGGTGGTGTTGACGGTACCGCTATTAGAGTCGGGTATACACATGGTAGTGAAATGTCGATTTTCTATTTCTACGTTCGTAGCCCATCTGACATGGAAGATCGCCAAGCTATGCAATCTAGAGTAGTCAAGTTCCCAGATCTCTTCGACCCTTTCGTATCTTTCAATTATGTTCCCGGTCATGGCTTCCATCGTCACCCCTGAGTTCTGGTTATCACTTTTTATATCTTTGGCGTCCGTTTAGAACGTGTATCCATTGATATTGTATGCTTGATAAGTCGCAAGGTTGGTCGACGGGCCATGTGCTAAGGCGTATATGAGCGTTCTGTCCGGACAGCCCTCTTCCAAGGATTAGCAAGAACTCGCTCTTTGAACCAACGCAAGAAAGTGGAATTGTGCTCTCTAATAACTTCACGTCCTGTGCACCCCATGGTCACGGTAGTTCTTTGCGATGGTCTCTTTGTGTAGTGTCAAGAAATCTTCTAGCACATCTAGGTGTTGTACCACTACTAAGTTTGCCCTGTCAAAGTCGTTTTGTCGGCCCGAGCGGACCACATTCACATCCCTCTGACCGTTGGTGTGAGATTCTCCTTCGAGCCTTCCACAGTGCTTGCTAACGGGCAAACCAACAACAGGGTCTCCGGTGCCTAGATAACTCTCATAGAAAGAGATGCACGATGTTCATGACATCACTACTAGCGCCAAGCACGATGTTCCTTGCATCAATTGCAAAAAAAAAATCAAATTCAGTGTTTAATGCTCTCCACTGGCTAGCATCTGCGAGGTGTCTCAGCTTCAGGTCAACTCTGTCATTTGGCTTCACCCTCTCCGCGTGCCAGCACATAAGCTTTGCTTCCTTAGGATCTACGAAATACCGCTGTAGACGCGGAGTGATCGGAAAGTACCATACAACTTTCTGTGGAGCTTTCCTTCCGACCTTCTTATATTGTGAAGCATTGCACTTTGGACAGATGGTTTTTCTGTGTGCTCATTCCGATATATGATGCAATCAATGACGCATGCGTGATATCTAATGTGTGGAAGATCAAGAGGGCATACGATTTTATTTGCCTCCTCGACACTAGTAGGACACAGGCTTCCCGCGGGAAGGACCTTCTTTAGATACTTCAAAAGCTCATCCAGGCTTGCATCCGTCCATTTGTTTTTTGCCTTCGTCTTTAGAAGTTCTAGCATGAAACTCAAGCGGGTCACCTCGGAATCGCAACCATCATACAAACGAGTCATCGAGTCTACCTCCAGTTGCGCTAGTTTGGCCTCCTCTCTAGAAGCGGCTCTGTCGCTAGTCGTCTTCTTGCGAAGCAGGTCTCAAACATGCAGGTCCCGCATGGTTGAACTTAGTAGCGACGAAGATGGTGGCATGTCTGCGTATTCTCCGCCTTGTACTCCCTCTTCGCCATCGCCATTTCCAAGGCCGTCTTCTTCTTCGGGCCCACAACCGGTCATCTCTTTGTCTGGCCCCATGTCGTTATTTCCTGCCCCATCGACGTCGTCATCATCATAATCATCTTCACTTATCCATCGAGTATGGCCATCCATGATGTTAGGGAACGTAGCATGTAATTTCAAAAAAATTCCTACGTTCATGCATGATCTATCTAGGAGATGCATAGCAACGAGGGGGAAGAGTGTGTCTACATACCCTCATAGACCGTAAAGCATTTATCAAAGCGGTTGATGTAGTCGTACACCTTCATGATCCGTCCCGATCAAGTGCCGAACGTACGGCACCTCCGCGTTCAGCACACGTTCAGCTCGATGACGTCCTCGCCTTCTTGATCCAGCAAGACAGGCAAAGTAGTAGATGAGTTCTAGTAGCATGACGACATGGTGACGGTGTTTATGAAGAACAATCTCCACAGGGCTTCGCCTAAGCACTACAAAAACTATGATGGAGGATAAATTAGAGGGGATGGGGTTGCCGACACATGGCTTGGTGAATCTTGATGTGTCTTTGGTGCTAGCCCTGCCCCTCTATTTATATGATGAGCCCTGGGGTCGAAATTGGAGCCAAAGCCTCCTCAAAGTCAGTTTTGCCCGAAAGGCAAGAGTCCCACTCGGACTCCAGGACCAAACGCCACATGTGTCAAATGATTCATAATCAAGAGACTCCAAAAGTCCATCTGCATGGAGTTTTTTCATGCATTTGACACCAATGTGACCAAGGCGGCAGTGCCACAAGTATGTGGGACTATCATTATTAACCTTACATCTTTTGGTATTCACACTATGAATATGTGTAACATCACGTTCGAGATTCAATAAGAATAAATCATTGACCAGCGGGGCATGACCATAAAACATATCTCTCAAATAAATAGAACAACCATTATTCTCGGATTTAAATGAGTAGCCGTCTCGCAT